GACTAAATTGGACGTGACAAACCTGTTCCCTAGTTTCCTTGCAGCTTAAGGGTGGTAACACGACCCTGTCTGGCCAGTGAGGTATAAGGAGAAATCTGCCAGGTGAGGCTTCTGGGAAGATCCTGCTTTTTTGATAAAAAGAGACAGACTCAGCTGTCTCTCCCAGTGCTTCTCCTTCCCTAGGCCCATTTCCCTGCCTCGCTTATGGTCTGCGGCCTGGAGATAGTGACCTTGCCACCTGTAATATGAGGCCACAGCGTCAGAATATGGAAAATGAAAAAAAGAAAGAACTTAGGTCTCTGGTGGCACCATTGAGCAGCTGAATGGATATCAATGTCATTACCTCCAAAATTTTCTCCATTCAGGAAGAAAAAACATTTATTTGATCTCTCCATTAGTATTAGACTTTCCAGTGCCTCCAAATGAATGCATTCCTAATTGGCAAATAGGCCTGCCCCAGGAAGGAGCAAGGCCTGAAGCCAAAATCAATGATCCAATGAGATTATATATTTATTTGTGCCTTTACAGACACCAGCTGTGATTTTAAATCTTTCTGTCAACTTGATTATTCATTTGTGTCCATTTGACTGGGCCACAGATATCTGGCTAAACATTATTCCCATTGTTTCCGTGAGGATGTATTTGGATGAGATTTAAATTGGTAGATGGAATAAAGCAGATTGCCCTCTCTTGTGCCATTGGGCCTTAGCCAATCAGTTGAAGGCCTGAATAGAAATGAAAATACTGACCATGCCCTCAGTAAAAGGGAATCCCTCCTCCTGCCTGACTGCCTCTGATCTGGGACATTGACTTTTCTCCTGCCTTCAGGCCCAAACCAGAACATTAGGTCTTCTTGGGTCTGAAGCCTGCTGGCCTCTGGACAGGCACTACCCTCTCCTGGCACTCCAGCCTTTGTACTTACCAATATCCATAGTCCTGTGAGCCACTTATAATGAATAAATGATAGATGATAGATGGATAGACCCTACTGGTTCTGTTACTCTGGAGAACCCTCACTAGTATGTCAGGTGTCAAACTTGTATGTAAATGGTCAGAGAAGCTATATTTATAATAGCACAGAAATGGAACTAGCTTACATATCCATCCATAAAGAAGTGAAAAGACAAATGGTGGTATATCCACATACTGGAATACTACTAAGCAGTAAAAAGGAACTGTCACTGGCATACACAAAAATGTGGATGCATCTCAACAGCATTATGCCAAGTCAGCAAAGGCGGCCATGAAAGACCAACATACTATATGGTTTCATTTACATGAAATTCTGGAAAAAGGTGAATTTGATATATAGTGGCTGAAAGCAGATCAGTGGTAGCTGGGACCAGGTACAGGGTGCTTTAGAATGGTAGAAATGTGGACTGAGTCATCATTATGGTGGTAGCTGTATGGGAACTACATCTGTCAGATTCACCAGACTATAAACTGAAAATAGATGCCTTTTAGTTATGTAAGTTACACCTCATTAAAGTTGGTAATACAAAAAAAATTTTTTAGTTTGAGTGGGACACATAGGTGGGTATAATCCAAGTACCTGTAAATAAAGAATAGAGGGACGAAGGCCGGAAGCAAGATGAAGCCAGGGAGAAAGTCAGCTCACAAAGATCACATCAATCCCTTGTTTGAGGGAAGCTAGAAACTGGGCTCTGAGCTTCCCAGGAGCCAAAGCAACAAGAGAAAAACAAACATTTGCAAGCTTCCATCTGTCCATAAGAAAATCACAGTGTTCATAAAATAAAATTGGATCACAGAGATATGGTGGCTTCTAAGTATTATGGGAACCAGTGAAGGAAGTGACTAATTCTGTTTGGGAAAACCAGGAAATGCTACAGAGATGAGGGTAGGAAAAAAAAACAGCTAACGCTGACTGTTTGGGGAATGTGGATATGAGAGAGGTAGGATTGGCTTCTGCATGGGAAATGATCAGCTTAACTCATTTCCTAGCTGTCCTTCAACTCTGAAGAGGTGGATCAGAGGCCGTGGTCTCAGGAAGCAGGAAGCAGGCTGGGGCTGGAGCCCATGACTCTTTGCAGGGCCTGAGGAAGGGACTCCACAGCCAGGAGAGGCATGTCATTTACTTGCCCACCAGTTTTCCATGGTTCCATCCAGAAGAGGGTCAGACCCCACCTGAACCTCGTCTGGAAGACCTTTGCTGGGTCAGCACTAACCCTTTCCTGCTGGATTGTGGGGGGTTGGGGGTCCCCAGGGACGGTCAAAGCTGCTGGGCAGTAAAGGAGATTACTGACCTATACATGGCATTTCAGTATTTTAGCAACCACTCTGGCTAGATCGTGCTCAATTATCAGCTGTGGGTCGTCCCTGCCCACACAGATGACCTCTCCTCCCAGCTGCCTTCTGCAGTCAGAGTCATGCCTGATTATCACCAGCTAATGAGAATTCCTGGCCTTGGTCAACTGCCCACACTCAGGAATTTGCTATTCATGAGAAATGTCAACTTTACGAAAACGAGCCTTGTGTGTCAGCTCTTTTTCCCACATTCAGGGTTTACAGCTGACAGGAGTTTGTTTCACATGATTTGCTGATGGAGGAAGAGGCTGTAATGCAGGAAACTGCCCTGGCAAATCATCCGTGAGCCAGCAGAACATTCTGGAACATTCGGGTTTTTTTTCCCCTTAGAAGCCATTTGGAAAGGGAAGGGTTGGGACTTGAACAAGGCTGGAGTGGAAGACTTCATGCCTGAAACGATAATAAAACCAGAGGACTCCATGCCCCGAGTTCCTTTTTCCTAGTGTACACTTGGAACAGCTACAGGACTGAGAGGAATATGGAGACTTTGAATGATGAGAAGTTATTCAAGAATACAGCACTGCATGACACGACATGACGCCTGACATGACACTCCATTACTTCACATCACTTACAGGATTGGAACTATAAAGCCAGCTCTACAGAAGATGATAATATGCCAGCTTTCTGACACCGGGTATGTAATAGGGATTCACTTCAACAAAGCACCAACCCTTCAGAAAGCACACCTGTCCCACGTCTGGTCACCCTTGACTTTCTTCTGTTCTCCTAATTTGACTTCCGGACCAACAGATAACTAATTTCATAGATGATAACGTTGCCATCCTACTAAACACCAGCAGGACCTGTCCAGAGGATTCCTGCTCTAGGAATAGAGGCTGGGAATGGATATGACAGAAGGTGACCTTCCTTAAATGCAGAGCCCCTGGGTTGTAGGTGTTTGACATGCTCTCTCTGGCTGGAGCTAAACACAGGAACTACTAAAGCTCGGCCACACTCAGAACAGGAAGGACTGGGCTCCCCCTGGCCCCTGGCCCCACCACCCCACAACCCCCAAGGAGAACCAGCTCTCCTCAAGGGTCCATCTGGCCCTGCCAACTTCCCAAAGAATCACACCACGTCAACTAAATCCTAACATCTGTTTGCCAGGCACCCGGCATCTTACAAGGGCCCCCACCTGAGCCTCTCATGGCCCAGCAGGGAAGGTTCAGAAGGCTTTAGCAAGACTGGGAAACAGAGGCCCAGCAAAAGGCACCAAGTCACACAGCTAGTCATGCAGAAAACACCCTAGTGGTCAGCAGCTTGGGCTTTGTTAGCCAGAGGAATCTCTCTGCAATCCTGGCAGACCGCCTTCGGCCCATGACCTCACTCCCTGGAGCCTGTTTCCTCCACTGCAGTGAAGTGCGCCATCCAGGAACAGGGCCCCGGGGGCCAGATCAACAGCTTAGCCACACACCAGTGGAAATACCATGTGGCATGTACCATTTCCTCATCTATAAATGTGAATGATTTGGTACTCGCTGCACAAACATGAGTAGATCTCACAAACGGACATTGAGAGAAAGAAGTCAGACCCAAAGGGTCGCGCTGTGTGATTCATTTATTTCATGTTCAAAATGGGCTTAATGAGCATGGGGTTTCCTTGTGGGGCGCTGAAAGAATCTTGGAACCAGAGTTCCAACATTGTGAATCTACTAAATGCCACTGGATTGTCCCATTTAAAATGGTTAATTTTGTTATGTGAATTTCCCTGTAATAAAAATGATTAATTAACTGATTTTGTTAATTTGGCCAAACTCATCAGCAGTGATAGAAATCAAAAGAGCAGTTCCTTGGGAGGTCGGTCACAAAGGAACAGAGCAATCAAACTCCATGCTTGCGATTTACTCACTTAGAGAGTGTGTGTGACAACTAAGTGAGGTAATCCACACCAAGCTCTTTAAACAGCCCCGGCACATAATCAGTGCTCGATATTGTATCTGTATGAGAAGATGAATGTTAGGTGAACCTACTGTAGTAATCATTTCACAGTACACGTACCAAACCATCGTGCTGTTTGCCTTAAACTTATACAGCTATGCACGCCAATGAAGAAATAAATAAATAAGAATAGCATAATTATCTAAAAATATGCTCAGAGATTAGTAATTCTTGTTAGTGAGATCATCATCTCATAACGGAGGCTGGAGGAGACCAGGCACATAAGGCGTTGAGTGTGGGAGCTAGCTTTTCATATATGTTCCCCAAACAGAGGCGATTTTCATTCATATTAAATTGAATCCAAACTTGTGGCTCAAGATTCAAAGCACTTGGCATAGCACCATCCTGCCCATTCCGAGGGGTTGGTTTAACATAAGCTTTGTGGAAAAAAGCCAAGGATTGAAGGATTAGGGGCTGGTACAGCATTGCACAGCCTCTGGATAAGCCGGGTAGCCTCCCTCGGGTACAAGGCAAGCCGTTCGCCACCACAAAAGGGGAACTGGGAAGGGAAGAGTCACTTGTCATTCATCCCAAGCTGATGGTATCTGGGAAAAGATCATGCTGGCTAATCCTGCTTTCCTTGGCCTCTGACCGGTGGAGCTCACCCCACCCGTTAACATGCTCATTTTATTGGCTTCCTGTGCTGCCCAATTGTGTTTGATTGGCAAGCTTCATACAAACCTAAAAGAATGACTCCCCTTCCATTGATCCACACAGTCCCAGTCCATACTCACTTCCCCAAGACCTGTGAGCTGTGACAGCTTCCATTCATTGTGTGTGTTCCCTTTGAAACTCCAGCTCCTTGCAGCCAGCAGCCCTGTCTCCGTCATCTTTTCAGATAAAACACAGCTCCTGGAACATAACAGAGACTTAATAAGTGTGTGAAGAAGGGAGAGAGAGAATGAGGGGCTTCCTGGCTGGGCAGACCTTTCAGAACAGCAATGTTATCTTCCCTTCTAATCCTAGAAAGGAAGAAAACACTGAAGCAGAAAGAGGCTGATCTCAGGTGGGAAATGCAGTAGGTTCCTGGCTCCTTCTGAGCCTGCTGAGTTCCCTTTAGAAAGAATTATCAAGATCCGGAAAGTGGCAGTGAATGTTGGTTTGGGGGCTAGGGGGCAGAGTTAAGTTAGGTGCAGAAAACATGTTTGTATAATATTTTTTGTTCCCATTTTGGGTTTCGGTTTTCTCATCCTTTATCAGCATGTCGATTTTGCAAGCATATGATGTCAGCCATAGCGCACTTTCACCTGAACTGGCTGAATCTACATCTTAAACCTAAGTGCAACTCTTCACCTCTGTGGTCTTCCTCCGAAAACACCATAACCCTGAACTAATCATGAAAACAGACCAGACAAATCCCAGTTGAGGAACCAGAAGAACACAAGGGCTATGCAGAGGTGGGGGCCACTGTGGTGTCAGCTCCACAGGACAGAGATTTTTCTCTGTGGCTCACTTCTATAGGCTCCTTACCTGGCACATAGTAGGTTCTCATAAATAGTTGTTAAGTGGCCAAAAAATATTTGTTGAATGGTCAATACCAGAGATAACAAGGAAGCTGGGAAACCAGACTTAATGGACATGGAATGAATGAGGAATGGCGGAAAATTAGAATCTGAAAGGACTCCCAGGTTTTTGTGTTGAGCAGCTAACTGGGCTGATGTCTGCATGTCATCGAGACAGGAAATCCAGTCTCAAGTTCACACCCTGGTTCCAAGACTTACTAGTTGTGCAACCTTGGATAAGTTACTTACCCTCTCTGAGCCCCAACTTCCACATTAGAAATGAGGATGCCATCCCACTCTCAGTGTTGCTATGGGAATAAATCCAATAATGGACCCATGACATGGTGTCTGGCACAAAGGATGCCCTAGGCAAAAGTTAGTTTCCTTCTCACCTTTAATACACATTGAATTCATATCTTCCCCAGTTTGAGTGTAAGCACCTAGTGGACAGGGGGCATGGCGAAGATGAAAAAATGAGAGAATTTGTGAGCTCCCCGCAGATGCTCAGTCAGTACTTGAGCCATGCAGTGTGCTACACTTGACAGAGGCAGCATCCTGTGAGCTCCCTCCTTGGTCCCTGGGCCAGGGAAATGGGGGCCAAATATCTAAGTGGTCCTGGGAAAGGGTGGGCAATGTGGGGACTGGCAGGGGCAGGAAGACTAGAATTAATTTTTATTTGTTGCTGACTTTCCTCGGGGCAGAGCCTTACAACATGCCTCCCTAAGGTGGAATAAATATGCGGCTCCCAGAGGCTCCTGGCTTCCTTTCCCACTTCCCCCTCCAGAGACCAGCCAGACCCAGCAGAATCTCCCTTCTGGCTGCAGGAGGGAGAGAGGAGGCCATCCCTATCCTGGTTCCAGCTATATTGACTTGCTAGGCAAGGCCATCCCCGCAGGCTGCATTCCGTGGCCCCATGCCAGGCTGGTGTGTAATGCGCTCCGGCCACCCTCTCATTACCTAATGCTTTCCTAATCTGCAGTTTACGCAAGAAGAGTTCAAATCTCTGAGAACACCAGGAGAAACACCCCACCAGGCACCTCCCAAACCAACCTGTGCCCACCCTACTTTCGGGCTGGTGGCTCAACGTGGAGGTGCGTTACCATGGGGGCCACTTGGTGGGTCACTTGGAGCCCCATTTTTCACAAGAGAATTCCCACCATCTGGACCTTCACCCTTTCTCTGACATAACTTACACTGGACTAGAATTGCTCTTCTACACAGAATTGTGGCCTTACAGCTTTCTGTCTTGCTATCTGTAAAGAGAATCTTTCAACAAATGGTACAGGAACAAATTGGACAATCAACTTGACCCTCAGTTCACATCATACATAAAAGTTAACTCAAGGTCTTGTTGCTCATGTGACTGTATATTAATGATACCATAATAAAAAAATAAATATAAAAAAAATTAACACTAGGTCTCAAAAGGGATCATTCACCTGCATATATAACCTAAAACTATAAAACTTATAGAAGAAAATAAATGTGAGATGAAATCTTTGCAGACTGGGTTAGAAAAAACTTTTCTTAAAACAGAAAATATATGAACCATAAAAGAAAAAAGTGGCAAATTGGGCTTGATAAAAATTTAAAGTACTACCTCCTCAAAAGTTACTCTTTAAGAATTTGAAAAGATAAGTTATAGACAGGGAGAACTGTTTGCAAAACATACATTGGATAAAGTACTTGCATCTGGAATATAAAAAGAATCCCTACAACTCAATAAGAAAACAAACATCCCAGTTGAAAAATAGGCAAAATATTGAAGCAGATACTTCACCAGCAAAGAGATGCAGATAGCAGATATGCACTGGAGAGGATGCTGGGGCTCATTAGTTATTAGGGAAATGGAATCTGGGATCACAGTGAGATATCACTACCCATTTACTAGAATGGCTAAGATATTAGTTGATTGACTAATTTATTACCTGACAATACTAAGTGTTGATGAGGCTGTGGAGCAACTAGAATGCTCATGTACTGCTTATTGGAATGCAAAATAGTGCAACCACTCTGGAAAACAACTCAGTGACTTCTTATCAATTTAATCATATGATCCAGCAATTGCACTTCTAGGTATTTACCAAAGAGAAATGAAAACATATCTCCATACAAACACATGTACAATAATGTTTATGGCAGCTTTAGTCATACTATCCCCAAATTGGAACCCAGAGTCCTTCAACTGTAAAAGGATAAGCAATGTGTGGTATATCTATACAATAGAATACTACTTCGTGATTTAAAAAAAGCTAGCATACATGCAACAACATAGAGAAATCTCAAAAGCATTCTGCTAAGTGAAAGTAGAAAGCCACAAAAAATTCTATCTGTATTAGTCAAAACTGTAGAGACAGAAATCAGATCAGTGGGTAACTGAAGAGACTGACTGCAAAAGGCACAGGGGAATATTTTGTGTTGGAAATGTTTGATATCTTATTGAGATGGGACTTACACAGGTGGGAACATTTGTCAAATCATCCACCTGAATGCTAGACAAGACTGATTTTTACTGTAGGGAAAATATACCTCAATGAATACAACTTCTAAACAGCACAAAATAGAATGAAATAAAATCAAAGTAAATCTGATGGGACCTTAAACAGACCAGACAAATCCCAGTTGAGGAACCAGAAGAACACAAGGGCTATGCAGAGGTGGGGGCCACTGTGGTGTCAGCTCCACAGGACAGAGATTTTTCTCTGTGGCTCACTTCTATAGGCTCCTTACCTGGCACATAGTAGGTTCTCATAAATAGTTGTTAAGTGGCCAAAAAATATTTGTTGAATGGTCAATACCAGAGATAACTAGGAAGCTGGGAAACCAGACTTAATGGACATGGAATGAATGAGGAATGGTGGAAAATTAGAATCTGAAAGGACTCCCAGGTTTTTGTGCTGAGCAGCTAGCTAACTGGGCTGATGTCTGCATGTCATCGAGACAGGAAATCCAGTCTCAAGTTCACACCCTGGTTCCAAGACTTACTAGTTGTGCAACCTTGGATAAGTTACTTACCCTCTCTGAGCCCCAACTTCCACATTAGAAATGAGGATGCCATCCCACTCTCAGTGTTGCTATGGGAATAAATCCAATAATGGACCCATGACATGGTGTCTGGCACAAAGGATGCCCTAGGCAAAAGTTAGTTTCCTTCTCACCTTTAATACACATTGAATTCATATCTTCCCCAGTTTGAGTGTAAGCACCTAGTGGACAGGGGGCATGGCGAAGATGAAAAAATGAGAGAATTTGTGAGCTCCCCGCAGATGCTCAGTCAGTACTTGAGCCATGCAGTGTGCTACACTTGACAGAGGCAGCATCCTGTGAGCTCCCTCCTTGGTCCCTGGGCCAGGGAAATGGGGGCCAAATATCTAAGTGGTCCTGGGAAAGGGTGGGCAATGTGGGGACTGGCAGGGGCAGGAAGACTAGAATTAATTTTTATTTGTTGCTGACTTTCCTCGGGGTAGAGCCTTACAACATGCCTCCCTAAGGTGGAATAAATATGCGGCTCCCAGAGGCTCCTGGCTTCCTTTCCCACTTCCCCCTCCAGAGACCAGCCAGACCCAGCAGAATCTCCCTTCTGGCTGCAGGAGGGAGAGAGGAGGCCATCCCTATCCTGGTTCCAGCTATATTGACTTGCTAGGCAAGGCCATCCCCGCAGGCTGCATTCCGTGGCCCCATGCCAGGCTGGTGTGTAATGCGCTCCGGCCACCCTCTCATTACCTAATGCTTTCCTAATCTGCAGTTTACGCAAGAAGAGTTCAAATCTCTGAGAACACCAGGAGAAACACCCCACCAGGCACCTCCCAAACCAACCTGTGCCCACCCTACTTTCGGGCTGGTGGCTCAACGTGGAGGTGCGTTACCATGGGGGCCACTTGGTGGGTCACTTGGAGCCCCATTTTTCACAAGAGAATTCCCACCATCTGGACCTTCACCCTTTCTCTGACATAACTTACACTGGACTAGAATTGCTCTTCTACACAGAATTGTGGCCTTACAGCTTTCTGTCTTGCTATCTGTAAAGAGAATCTTTCAACAAATGGTACAGGAACAAATTGGACAATCAACTTGACCCTCAGTTCACATCATACATAAAAGTTAACTCAAGGTCTTGTTGCTCATGTGACTGTATATTAATGATACCATAATAAAAAAAATATATAAAAAAAATTAACACTAGGTCTCAAAAGGGATCATTCACCTGCATATATAACCTAAAACTATAAAACTTTTAGAAGAAAATAAATGTGAGATGAAATCTTTGCAGACTGGGTTAGAAAAAACTTTTCTTAAAACAGAAAATATATGAACCATAAAAGAAAAAAGTGGCAAATTGGGCTTGATAAAAATTTAAAGTACTACCTCCTCAAAAGTTACTCTTTAAGAATTTGAAAAGATAAGTTATAGACAGGGAGAACTGTTTGCAAAACATACATTGGATAAAGTACTTGCATCTGGAATATAAAAAGAATCCCTACAACTCAATAAGAAAACAAACATCCCAGTTGAAAAATAGGCAAAATATTGAAGCAGATACTTCACCAGCAAAGAGATGCAGATAGCAGATATGCCCTGGAGAGGATGCTGGGGCTCATTAGTTATTAGGGAAATGGAATCTGGGATCACAGTGAGATATCACTACCCATTTACTAGAATGGCTAAGATATTAGTTGATTGACTAATTTATTACCTGACAATACTAAGTGTTGATGAGGCTGTGGAGCAACTAGAATGCTCATGTACTGCTTATTGGAATGCAAAATAGTGCAACCACTCTGGAAAACAACTCAGTGACTTCTTATCAATTTAATCATATGATCCAGCAATTGCACTTCTAGGTATTTACCAAAGAGAAATGAAAACATATCTCCATACAAACACATGTACAATAATGTTTATGGCAGCTTTAGTCATACTATCCCCAAATTGGAACCCAGAGTCCTTCAACTGTAAAAGGATAAGCAATGTGTGGTATATCTATACAATAGAATACTACTTCGTGATTTAAAAAAAGCTAGCATACATGCAACAACATAGAGAAATCTCAAAAGCATTCTGCTAAGTGAAAGTAGAAAGCCACAAAAAATTCTATCTGTATTAGTCAAAACTGTAGAGACAGAAATCAGATCAGTGGGTAACTGAAGAGACTGACTGCAAAAGGCACAGGGGAATATTTTGTGTTGGAAATGTTTGATATCTTATTGAGATGGGACTTACACAGGTGGGAACATTTGTCAAATCATCCACCTGAATGCTAGACAAGACTGATTTTTACTGTAGGGAAAATATACCTCAATGAATACAACTTCTAAACAGCACAAAATAGAATGAAATAAAATCAAAGTAAATCTGATGGGACCTGTCCTTCATGAGGATAAAATGACACCAATAACTGCAACGGCCAACATGAGCCAGCACTGTCCTAGATTTGCACATATTTTCTCATTTAAGTCTCAAACAATCCTTGCAGGTCCTCAAACACACCAAGAACTTTCCTGTCTCGGGACTTTTCCTGTCTCGGGACTTTGCACTTGCTGTTCCCTTTGCCATCTGCTCTTCCATCAGATGATTCCATCTCCCACATTCCTCCAGTCTCCATTCAAATTTCACCTCCTGAGAGACCTTCTCCCTAAAATAGCATCTAAACATTTTATCTAAAATAGTCCACCAAACCCATCAGCTTTCCTCCATTACCTAGTTTTATTTTTTTCACAGAGGTCAGTACTATTGCATATTGTTTGTTCATAAGTTGCCATAAGAATGCCACTCTTTCATTCATTCCTTCTTCATTCAACCAGCACCCACTGAATACCTCTCCTGGAGCACCTATGGGCAAAGCCAAAAGCCCCAAGGCAGAAAGTCGCCCTGAGGCTGAGATAGGCTGATCATGCGTAGCCGATCTCCCCACCCAGCACCCCTCTCATAACCTAGTAGAGGTCTCTGCAAGGGGCTCTCCTGTTTCAGGGTCACAGAAGCCACAGCATGGAGAAAGCACAGGTTTAGGATGTGAGATGTTCCTACACAAACCTTTCCAACATTCTCCTGGAGACACAGAGCCCAGCACCTCACCTAACAAGGCCTCCATTTCCCCACTTATAAAACAATTACACATGCATTTATCAAATATTAGCTGGAACAGAAATTCCCTAAGAAATTGATGAAAAATGCATGCTCTTTCCCCAGAAAAGCTAATTCAGTAGATGATAAGTGGGATCAGGGAATCAGCAATCTTAACCTTCTCTCAGGACAATCTAATGCAGGTGGTCTAGGGACCAAATTTTGGATATTGATGATTTTCAAACCATTTTTCAGCTTCCTCCAAATAAAATTTCACCCAGGAAACCACATATACAACATATCAATCAGAGAGGCTCTGGGCATCCAAGAGACCACAGTGATACTGGTTCTTCCTCACATGCCCTCCATGCCACCATTCAGTGGCCCTAGCAACCCTAAGGTTCCTTGGAACACAGTTTGAAAACCACTCTAGAAGCTCCCTGGTTCAATCATTGCATAAACATTTGTGAGTTATTACTATGTGCTAGGCATTGTTCCAGGTACCGGGTATCCACCAATAAGCAAAACAGGCAAGTCCTTGCTCTGACCAATTTTGCATTTACCAAGCTCAGCTCTAAGCATTTTTTAAATTTAATTTTCTTAATCTCACTTAACTCGCACCACAACCCTATCAGGCACCTACTACTATTAGCTCCATGTTATAGAAGAGGAAACTGAGGCCCAAGGAAATTAAGTAATTTGCCCAAGGTCATACACTAGCATATGGCAGAGGCAGGATTTGAACCCAGAACTTTGAGCTCTGGCCAACCTGCCTGGTTCTCAGAACCTCTTGTCTATGAGCCCAAGTGGTATGTCTGAGCCCACCTGAGGAATGTAGGCCCATCTGCCTGGGCTTCTCCACCTGAGGGGTCAAACCAATCTCTGTAGCTCTCGGGTCCTGTGGGGTTAAGACTCCCAGACTGAGCTCCAGGTGAAACTGGAGCCCACATGACTTCAAGCTGATGCTAGTGGCTTCCTTACCTTGCAGGGACACTGAAAGGCTCATCTCCGCAGTGTGGAAGAATGCTGTCTCTGGACCAGGTGCTGAGTTTATTCTGGTTACCACTACACCACTCGGTGTGCTGTGGTTAAGATGACTCCGTCCAGCAGTTCTGCTGGTGTTCCTGACTTGACAGGGTGACACTGATATGTCTGCCACCAGAATATCAGCACCAAATTCAGAAGCAGAGTGGGGACTTGGCCAAGTGAATGCTAAGTGAGAGGGGAGAACACATGGACTGTGAGCTCTTCCAACAGGAGAGTGGGAGAGAGAGTAGAGGTCGTTTATGCCCAGGCCACTCCCTCTGCCAAAGGGAAGCCAAGGTCCGGAGAGAGCGGTGGGCTGTCAGGGAGGCCCTCGGCTGCGTGCCCAGGCCCCCGCAGTTGCCTCTGACAACAGAGGGAGGGAGACCCGAGTCCGTATCTTAGTCCCGCCCTTTATGAAGCTTTGTGACCTTGAGCCCTCAGCATCTGGGTCTGGGTTCCTCTGTCTGCACACTGGAGATAATCTCCCTCAGAGAGGCCAAACAGCTACTCCATAATAGTCCACCCTCTCCCCTTGGATTTACCCAAAATACCCCAGTTGTCAGGAATTAGCTCATCTTAATGGAGACCTCACAGGTCTCTCTTTGGACATGGGTTTCAACCCCACGCTGCTCTAATTGTGGTGAATGGGCCACAGTGTTCATTTCCCCTGGGAACTTGGAAATGAAGATTCTTGGGCCCCAGCCCTGAGGAGTAGAATCTGCATTTTAACGATATCCTCCCCACTGCCCCCCACCCCCAACTCAGCCCACTACTGAGTACCACTGTTTAGCTCTTTTTTTTTTGGAGGGACTGACTGCTTTTGCCTATCTGTGACCCCAGGTATTTGAACCCAACATTCATTGAGCATTCTGTACATGTCAGGCATGTGGGAAGTGTTTTATAAGCATGGTCTTAGTTAAATAGCACCATCTCAGATGAGAATTCTTACTAACCCCATTTCACAGATAAGACAACAGAGGCTGCGGTAGGGTAGTCCCCTCAGGGGGTAAGTACTAAAGGCACACTTCAAACCCTGAGCCTCTGCGACCCCAGGTTTCTCACTTTGCCACCCTGGTGTCTGGAAGTGAACCACCCCTGCCTCAGCAGCAACTGCCTGTGTATCAGGCTTTGTAATCCCTGCTCTCCTTCTGTGATCCCCATGAGACATCTGCTTCTGGAATCAAGGTGGTATCTGGGAAATGACAGTTTCAAGATCCGTCCCCTCATCCCCTAAGGTGAGTTTCTGATACACTGTGGGGAGATGCCCAGCTGGACAGGGTCAGAGAAGCCGGACTGCCCGCTGTTCCCCTGAACTGGCTAAGACCAGGCAGCAGGTGGTAGAAGGCTGACCTCCGAGCTACTTAACCTCTCTGGGCGTTTATGTCCTCCCCTGTAAAATGGGACAAACAATGGGACTGCCTTCCTCGGAGCTGCTCTCAGAATGAGATAAGAGCGTGCTTCGGACCTGCTGCAGCAGAGGCGGGCGAATGCTAAGTACTGGTACGTGTGGGCTCCTTTCATCGTCGTTATTTTAATTATTCCTTTTCTGTACTGAGAATTGGCACAGGCTATCCAGCAGCATGTCTAAGGTACATTGAGTGTTCAGAGCTGCCTGGGAAATGTCATCCACAAATCACTTCCCCAGCGAAGAAGTAAGAAAGACACCGATCAGTGGGGGCTCGGGACACCCACTCTAACTCCAACTACTGAGAAAGAAATTTCCTAATACAAAGCGAGCATTGGCTGTGAATCAGCTGTTCCGTCCCATCTCTCAGGTTTGGCTTCCCAGCTGTACACTGGTGGGAATACTGTCTGCTTGCCCCTCTGGCCAGGAAGCCCCTGGGGAAGGCAGAGAGCAGGCTCAGCGCTCCTCCTCTCCCAGAGACCAACCTCTCGACCAGGGGCTTGGATGAGAAACCTGTCCGGTGTGCACTGCAGCTCTGAGCCCCATGCCTTCCTCTTCAGATGACGCCAAACCGTCCTCATGGTTCTCCCCAGCTTGTTCCCCCTGCCTTCAGCTAATGAGGCGTGGAATTAAAACCCGTGGCTGAGCGGCACAGCCCCCAGACTGGCTCGTCGGCTGCAGCTGACCAAGAGCAGTAACCAGGTGAGGGAACTGATGGAGACACTGCTGTGGCCACTGAACACAAGGCCAGACCTACCCCGAGTGTTCAAAATCCAATGTCCTGCTCATGTGAATGTATATCAATGATACCATAATAAAAATTTTTAAAAATCCAATGTCCTGTGTCAAGGAAAGTTTCTGACAAGTTCCAGGGAAGTGCTTCACATTCACCTCGTTCAGCTGTAGACACATTCCGGGTCACACAGCACACCAGCCGGCACCCAGGGAGCCGGAGCTGTGGGGGTGGGGGTGGGGGGTGGGCGCTGGTTCAGGAGTGGCCTTGCCAGCCTTTGGCTGTGGCTAGGTCTCAGCCTCGGTTTCCCTCGCTGAGAATGGGGGCCGTATGAACTAAATCTTCTTTATTTTTTTAATCAACTGTTTTATTTTGGATTAGTGTTGCATTTACAGAAATGTTGCAAAGCTAGGACAGGGAGTTCCCCTATGTCCCTCACTCAGCGTCCTCCAATGTTGCATTTACATCTCTGTGGAACATTTGTCACAACCAAAAAACCAACACTGGCACATTATTAATAATTAAACTGCAGATTTTATTTGGATTTCACTCATTTTCCCACTAATATTCTTTTCTGTCCCAAGATACTACCTTGCCTTTAGGACTAAATCATTTATAATGTCCTCTCCCAGTTCTAAAAACAAAGTGACAGTAAGCCTTCATGGTTAAGTGCTCTGGGTAAATTAGCAAATGAGCACCGCACTGTGTGATTCTGGGAAAATCCCTTATCCTCTCTGAACCTCAGTCTCTTCATCTACAAAAAGGAGATGATACCAGTACTGCTTTATAGGAGTGCTGTGATGAAATCCTTTGCTATGAAGCACTTAGCTCTCAAAACATCATCAACACTCTTGATAAATTTCAATGGTAGAAATCATAGACTGAAAACAACACAAACCCAGCATATGTACACTGTTGGCAAAAAAGTCTCCCAGCAAATTGGCTGCTCCAGAAAGAAGACAGTGTGTTGCTGGTTTAGCCTGTCAGACCCAATGTGGAAAGCAGAGGACCAGATAGGGTGAAAATCTAGAGTCCCACCCACCCCATTTACCAGCTAGACAAACTTGCCTCTGGGTCTCAGCATCCTTATCTGTTGAATGGGAACAAATCACCCACTTCACAGGGCTGCTGAGAAGATAAAATGACTGTAAGACACAGAGCAGGACTGAGGTGTGGTATGAGGCCACATCTTTCTCTTCTACCTCTTCTAGGAACCGCTAAGTCATTGACTGCGATTGGGATCATTGAAGAACCTACTGACACCTGACATGTGCAGTTCCCAGGGGGCGGGTAATGAGATCCTGCCTCTCCTTTTGGGGGCAGGGCGATTAAAGAAACATTTGCCTTCCCTTTCCCAGCCTGTTCATATTGAAAAGCCAGTCCCATGATTGTCATTACCACAAGCCTCTCCTCATCCAGAATGAACTGAGACCAGGAGCCCCATCCTGCTGAGCCTGTGCTGTGTTACAGGGAAACACAAAACTACCCCTGAGGTCACTCGGAGGAAGATCGTCATGAGGCAGAATCGCGGAACAGCAGCTTAAGGGACTGAAGAACTCAAAGAACATCAATCTGTTTAAAGATGAGTAAATGAGAACCAGAGGGGCAGATCTGCTTGCTCACACAGGAGAAAGGGTTCAGAGACGGAATGAGGGCCAGTGACAAGGTTTCCACTTCTGTGCCCTTGGCTGTCCAACTTGGAGGCCCACTGGACTCTGAGCTGCTGAAGATAATATACATCCATCCTTCCCCCCACCCTGTCCCTCCATCCATCCAAGTTGGTGTCAGACACCTTCCTTGTGGTAAGCATTGTGCTAGCAGCTTGGGGGTGAACAAGACCACCACAGTCCTTGACCTCATGAAGCTTTCCACTCAGTGAGTTAGGACTGGCCATTCCCCAAGGGTCTATACAGTGCCTGGCACATGGTAGGTGCATAGTCAATGTTTTGAATAAAATCAGTGATGCTCCCACCCTTATGACTGATGTACTGGGCTGTGTTGAAGAGGTTAATGAGCTAAAGACTCAGTATTTGTATTTGTCTTGAACCACCTTCTCCAATCATCATTCTTGTCAGAAAACTTTATATGGTGGGTTGCAGACATAGCAATAACAGTGAGCAAGGAGTCCAAAGATCCAAGCTCGTGTCCTAGCCCTGAGTTGCTTACTGCTGACCAGCTACAAAAGACACAGGAGCCTCAGTTTTCTCATCTATAAAATGGAACAAATAATATTTGACTTAGCTATTTCACTCAACTTCTGTGAATACATAAGAGGGGAGCAGAGAGAGAGGGAGGGGACAGAAAGAGTAAAACTTCTAGAAAGTCTATGAATAAGATTATTGAGATATTACTTGGCTGACTCCAATGACAAGTACATTGAGGACGCAGGGGAAAATAAAAGTCATCAACTTTTATGCCAGTGCTCAGCACACTCACATCCCAACCTTCTGTAACGTAACTGCTTGTGATTGCCCCAGATTTGTTCCAACCTTCAAAGAGATTAAATTTATGGATTCGTGGCATCACATGTCATCCCAGCCAATCCTGACCCATATTTCTGTCCATTTGGTGCATGTAACAACAGTACAAAGAGGTGTTGTAACCTTAATTGCTTGCAAAGTATTTTGAAATCCTCATGTTAAAAAGCTAGGTGAAGTCCAAAGTATTGCTCTCCTATGCCCAAGGAGTCATGCTGAGCCTTGTCTGGGTTCCTTGGAGTTGGGAGACATTACGACGTTATGTTCTGAGGCTCCAAGGAACTTAGGAACTTTACAGTCCTATTCATGGGACAGCCCAAGACCGGCCTAGTTTCTAAGCTACCCAGGCATTTGGCCATTTCCCACATGGCTTCTGATAGGCTTTTTCCATTTTTTTTCCTTACATTTGTTAGGCCTGAGTTGCACTTATTTCACAGGTCTGCTTTACTGGGTGATTTCAGCCTGAGCCTTAGA